TTTGAGGGCTCCGGTCTGGGGGCCCACAGTCGTCATATTATAAGATGACTTCGAGAAGAGCGCCCCGAAAAAGCCCCTGATACGATTTTCGTCTCGTTTACGCGAATTTTAAAGGAAAACTCCCGGAGATGACGTCCATGTCCAGGTTTCGGTGCACCAGGTATCCGGGGGGTGCTCGCCGACGCCAGATTAGGAATCAGCGACCCGAAAAACCTCCGGGTGTAAAGTTTCATTGCATTTGTGAAATTCAGGAGAAGCTTCGGAGATGACGTTCATCATCAATACTAAGCTCCAGGTCGGCGATAGACCAATTTGAAGGTCATATTCGGGATCAGCGACCTCGAAAACCTCCAGGACCCTGATTTGAGTCCATTCCAGGCATCATTAACCAAGTTATGATTTTTTTCTAAGTGACTTTAAAAAATGCATTATTCTGCACTGCACAAATGCAATTTGGCCGAAAAACATAATACACAGTTGATACATTTTTTCTACATAATTTTAGAAAGCGAATGCAAAAACCCCATCTTGATACGACTTGATCGAAAAATTTCGGAGATTTCGGTTCTTTTTGTGCTTTATTTCCTCGAGTAGTAGGTGAGACGACTGAAGAATTATGTTGTCTTTATGTCAGTAGGTACATGTGCCGGTATACATAATGTAGCAATGATAATTTAAAGTATGGCATATGACATATGTTTTATAGGTTTTACGTCTCTGTATATAAAAAACTGTGGCATGTGTTTGTTTTTGCATTTGGCAGAAACTGAAGCTGTATATTGAATTTGAATGAAATCATCCATTCTCTTGTAATTAAAAAATAAAAATATGAACTATTTTGAGATACACTTTGTATCTCGAACATGAAATGTTTATGGTTTTCTTTGTTAACTTGCGACATAGGAATACTATGAAAGTTTGGCCAAGTATTTTGTTTATTTAGGCTATTGAGCTGTTAAAAATAAAAAAGTACATATCCAAGTACGTAGTGGTAAAAACTTTTCTACTTCTTTTCTACTTTTTTTGGGTACTTATAGATATTAAGCAGGGGATCCTAGTAGAAGTAAAAAAGAAAAAGAGAACGCAGATAAAGTCAAAATAATGTTAGCATTCCATATAATGTTGTGTCATACGAGCCTTCATTATTAGTTACGGACCTCTTTAATCTAGAGTACTCAGAAGTTTTCGATTTTGATATTAAAAATACCAAAAAGTCGAAGATAAAAAAATATAATAAAACATATCAGCTGACCCTCCTAAAGAGACGCCTATGGTTACAATTATCAAGAGATCATTTTTACATCAAAAGGCTGTCCATATAATAGTTAACATATAACCTAAGTTTGATCCTTCTAGATAAACAGCGATCTAACAATTAAAAAAAAACAATGTCAAACGGACATCTTCAAAGAGCTCTACTTCCTATCCCTATTCTTCTTCCTGTTAGGAAGCAGTTTTGCTTAAGACGATTTACGTCAAATGATAGGAAATCATCCCTAGAATTTGCCGTCTTCGTTTATAGGTTTAGTTTTCGGACACCCTGTATATTGTAATTGAAGGAGGGTACCCTTTACGTGACGAGGTGACTTTTGGAATAAAATCAAAACTGAGAATATCCACTTTGGATGCTGTAGGATGCTGTCATGTATTTTGTCATTTTAGGCTAAATAAAGACGTTTCGAATTAATCATTGCCAAGTAGACTGCTGTCATGTAAGTAATCATTACAATCAATACAGTGACATCATGTAGGAATTGGTTTCTGGTAGGTAACTTTGAAATGATTTGAAGACTTCCCTGATAGTATTTTTTTAACCATGACGTTACTGGCAAAAAATGGCGGATTTGTGTGGTATAAAATGTCAAATTCTTGACTGCTAATTTTATCGAGTGCAAATTTCGTTATAGTCCAGGCGACTTAGACCAAAATCACCCAGAATACTGAAATTTTTTTCTGATGTACCGATCGAGTTGCGGTTTTCGACATTGTCTTGTCTTCATAAAGTGCATCTTGGAGTGCATAAATTTTTCCGAATTTGCTAAAAATGGTAAACATTTATTAAGAGTTGTAGAAATTTGTGTGCACGGGTTTTCGGGGTCGGAGATTCCGAATCTGACCCTGAAAAATATACCCGACGGCCCTGGGGCACCCCAGGGGGGCAAGCGGGGGTCTTCTGTAAAACATCGAATACCTGAGTAATTGCCTTCTAAATACCCACTCGGGGGTTTTTGGGGTCGTGGATTTCGAATCTGACCCTGAAAAATACGCCCGCCCCCCCCCCCCCCCCCAGGGGGGCCTTCTGTAAAACATCGAATAGCTGAGTAATTGCATTCTAAATTTCTACTCGGGGGTTTTCGTTGTCGGGGATTCCGAATCTGACACTGGAAAATATCCATTAATCTTAACTTGTCTATCACTGAGAAAAATTGTCGTAGAATTGGAGAAATCCTGGACAATTCGTTCCCAAGAGACACATTTCATTAAATCAAAGAAATATTCCTTAAAACCGAAGATTATTTCATGGATCATGGATTTTTAAAAGAATCTCTTGGGCCCGTGCGACTGCAGATAATGCATAACAATTAGGCGTCAAAATCCGATTATCGACAATGCAGATCTTGTGGGTGCAGGAAGCATGGAATTACATGCACAATTGCATGTACAAATTGTTTTGGAACCAACTGTTCCAATCCTGAAATAGTCGAAAATGTAATAGATGATAGTGATGGAGACAGTGATGGCAGTATTGATGATGAAAATTCTGATTGATAGTGAAAGTGTTAGATAAACATATGATAGTAGTTGTCTGACTAATTGCCTTGCAAATAAAAAGAAAATTGGTTCTCAGAATAAAGGGGATTCTTCTCGACTCATTAATTTCCTGTTAGTTTTTCTTACCCTTCTTGTTTAATCTCTGTAAATTTACGTGTGTTACAATGTAAAGATAAACTTACAAGATCAAGGTTGGTAAGAAGGTGGAGCTGTTTTATTGCAAAAATCTGATGTGCCCTTCGATGTTTTCCAGAAAGCCCACCCCACGGGCGTCGGGCATACTTTTCAGTGTCAGAATCGGAATCCCCGACCCCTAAAACCTCGAGTTGAAATTTAGAAGGCAATTACTCAGCTATTCGATGTTTTACAGAAGCTCTCCCTTGCCCCCTTGGGAGGCCCCAGGGGCGTCGCGCATACTTTTCAGTATCAGAATTGAAATCCCCGATCCCAAAAACCCTCGAGTGGAAATTAAGAGGGCAATTACTCAGCTATTCGATGTTTTACAGAAGCCCCCCCCCCTTGCCCCCCTGGGGGCTCCAGAGCCGTAGGGCATATTTTTCAGGGTCAGATTCGGAATCTCCGACCCCGAAAACCAAATTTCTACAACTTTTGGTCAATTTTTACCATTTTTAGAAAATTCGGAAAAATTGATGCACTCCAAGATGCACTTTATGCACCCGCAATGCAGTTTCGATCCAGCCCCAAAATGTAATAGATAGACTTTTTTCCTGATATTTTTCCGAAGACAATGCCGAAAACCGTAACTCGATCGGTTCATCAGAAAAAAAATTCTGATTTATTGTCTAACTTGCCTGGTCTATTAGCAAATTGTTTGAACTTATTTTTAGTATCCGCATATTGTAATCGTCTCCCTGTGAATGTTAATCACTGAGTATAGTCTAACATTAGGAGGAAAATAACGACAAAAAGAAAATATTCACTTATAATCTCCCTAGTGCTTGATCTATTTTCGAAAATTTTTCCGAAGGAACGCATTTTCTAGAAAAATGCGTGATTGAGGTAAATTTCCGGACATTAATTCAAGGACGTGGGGGATTCGGTAAGAATATTTTACAACCAAAATTTATTTTAAAAATTTTGAAACATATTTCGCCAAAATAAAGTTGGCTTGACAGGTAGATATTGTTTTGTGGTGAATGACATATTTTTTTCTTCGTAAACGTCACATAATTTAATCGCATTTCACGCGTTTTTTTAAATTCAATAATGGCTCGTTTTGGAAATGAAAATTCCGAAAACATAAAAGCAAAACTTGTCTTAAATAGAGAGAGAGACATTTTACACATTGTTGAGGAAAATCCGAGTCGCAGTACTCGCGACGTTACTCGTGTAGTGGGTGCTCTAAATGCTACACTGTGGCGTGTGTTATAGGAGCTGTCTGTATACTTTTCACGTACAATGCGTGCAAGCTTTGCTTACAAATGGTTTTCAGCCAGTACTTTATTGATAAGAATATCTCTATATGATTTGATCATTTATTGTGAAAAAATACTGCACAGAGATTGTTATCTAAAATCGATTTTTCTGATGGAGAACTAATGTCTTCGAAATATTGGAAGACGAAACTGTAAATATTTTTATATATACAGATATTTCAATTATATTGTATTACTTGGGTGTTGCTGACGTTAAAAGAGTAATGCAGATTCATTTATAACGTCAAAAAGAAAATACATACACAAACTATCAACAATAAAGCGTATTCATATGCGTAGTTTCGAAGTTACAAATGAAAATAAGTTTTCACTTTTTAATTTTAGAGGCTCGTAATTCAATAACAAAGACTAGTGGCTGTATGACAGAACTCTATATGAATTGTTAATATTATTTTGACGTCACCTGGTCATTATATGTAATTCCTAAGATACACAATATCTATTCATTTCTTTTTATTAGTGTTTGTATAAATAAAAGCTATATATCGCATTTACAAGCTTAAAAGCTTTTTATGGACATGCTTAACTGATGTTAAAAGTTTAAATATATTAAATGTGCCATGAAATGGATGTCGAATAATTTACGAAATGGTATTCGAGTCTTTTAAGAGCTGAAATTTCAATAGAGCTACAGGCATCTATAGAGCTTAGAAGGCAACTGAAAAATCGAGAAATAGTAGTTTTTGTACGGACACATCGCAACGTAACTGAAGAAGCTTATAGCGGATGCTGAGAACGTGGATCGCTACCTGGAATGGCCTGCTCACTAACCTGAGACAGAGCGAGAAGTTTTTGTGTACTACGACTGACCTGTAGCAAAGGGCCATAGTTGCAAACACAACGAACACACCCCCTACCACCGACATGAGAGTACCCACGAGAAATATCGTGTTCGACCCGTGATAGTCCTCTGTAGGTCCATAGCAGCATGTTGTCGTGGGATGGCGGCACCAGTGGCGCAGTAGCATCGGGTCCACGCCACAACGCAGTCATCGCATGCATCAATTTACAGGCGAAGAGAGAGAAGAAAGCACCAGTAAGACAATTTTCTATGGGCGCTAAATCTTTCGGCCGAAACCGGCCGATTTACCTGGCAGCTGACCCCTATGTTTTTGCCAAATTAACTAACCTTATATTCAGTTATCCGTTGTAATTTACTGTAACTGTAAAAATACGTACGGAGTGACGCTTTTAAGAATTTCAATGACTATATTTTCAAAATTAGAGGAGCTACTAAACTCTAAATGATAGGTTTTGCATCCTAAACCGTAACAAATTTTAAATACGCTACGATACGATACAAATAAATACGATATAGACTGCATTGGTATACTAGTGATGTAACGAATGTCAGTTTTTAGGCATTCGCGAATGCGAATGGGAATCCAAAAGCGAATGTTCAGTTTTCAAATGTTCACTAAAATTTGGCAACTGATTGGCAGCGCAATTCGCATGCATACATTCGTAGTGGTTCTGGATATTAAGTCACCAACACAAAATATATACGATTATTTCTGTTTATTTAACCGGAATTATTCAACCATTACAAAAATTTATTATAATGGTAGTGTCCTTGGAACGCTTGGGCTTCTATTTCCTATAGCAAAGCAATATTTAGTTATACCACTAATGAGTGTTCCTACCGAGCGTATGTTTAGGGGTGCTGGGTACATTTATACGCCGCATCGAAAGAGACTCGAAGAAGAGAAGGCTTCGAAGCTTTTATTTTTGAAATTTAATATCTACTCCAGTTTAATTATTAACTTGTTGAACATTTAAAAATTATGAGAAGAGAAAGAAAATAATTACTTTATTTTTTAAAAGTTCTAATCTTTGGTATATACCAATTTTCTAAATATTTTGTTATATAAGCTGCTTTAATTTTATCATTCCTGTCAGTCTTTACGGACAGGAGGACATTTTTTTTAGTGACGATGTACATGAATGTAAATTTTGATACTGTTACTGAATACAATAAGAAAATATACCAACTGAGAGTACTAAGTTGAATACTTGGACAAGATGTCATCCATTACTATGACACAGAAGTGGAAATCGTTTGAAGTTTGTGATAGGGCAAGCGCCCAGCGATTTGGCATTCATGTCACTGATACGAAAAGTCAACCAACGCTCATCGCGGTTACTACTTGTACGGAAGATCATCGGGGGAAGGCTCGCGATGCTCGTTCATCTTTTAGCGGCCTGTATGTAGGTGTATTCACAAAAGCTATACAAATTTAGGCGAGGTTTGTATATCCATATACCATCACTCGGAAAGGTAAAACCGTTGGCCCCTTGTCTAAGCAATGTTAGGGACTTAAAAGATCCGTGCCCTACGACAAAATGGGGGTTCGGCAAAATTTCCAGGTTGGAGGTTGCTGGTCTCCTGACGTCGGTGTTTAGCCATTGTAACATAAATAGGTCGACGTAATATAACCAAAAAACAAAAAGTTAGTGATAGAATCAATTTAGACACCTTTTTGTCCACCTAGTTTTTATTTTCAAATTACTTCAACTATATTACTATCAAATGCAGGATACGTCGTACTGTAATATTGTTGTCCCACAGTTGGGTATTGCCTTTTAAAAGTTTTTATGATTTAAGTTCGACCATCATACAACAAATGATTTTGAGTAAATTTTCTTCACTCCTCAAATTCGCAAAATACAGCCATTGAATCTTGAATAATTTCACGCATATATTTAAATTAAAGTAAGTCATTTTTAAATTTATTGGAATATTATTATAAATCTGATTAATTTCAAGTTATCTTCACCTGGCATATTTGGAAAATATATTTTAGTTATATTTGTGTTTTGAACATAAAATGAAAGAACTAAGGGAAATTTATTCATACATAGATTTATTTCGCTTCAAATTGCAAATTGCCGTCATTGTCAGGAACAAGTTTGATTGATTGTCGCAGAATATATTGTACTGTTTAATTCATCCATAGGTGGGAACATTGTTAATTTGTGAAGTGGTGACATAATACATCATTAGATTGTAACAGTTTATTGTATTGCGTGAAATTATGCTAAAATCTATCTACTTACATGTTGGATCAAGCTAGGTTTAAATTTATCAAGAATAAAAGGAAAACTGTGCGGTTGTCGTAAATTTTATTTATTTATTTTTTTAATTAGTATAGTTGTTTCTGTCGATTGTTTATTAGATGACCTTTGACGCGTTAGATGTTACCACATTATTTTCATTAAATGTATAAGTAATTATAATATATATTTTTATAAATATTTTTTTTAATGTTAGAGGAAAATATACGTCTAAGAATTCAATTTTTTTTCCTCTACGCTATTCAATAATATCTTGGATAATGTTTCTAGTAAAATAAACCTAAATACTGACTAATGTCTTTTATGCCTAAATAATATCTATGTAGTGCCCTGAGGCTTACTTAGGTAATAACAATCAAAACTTCGGCATATGCAAAATATTCACGAATTTATTCCTTTATTTTTTTTTTTACTTAAAACATAACCATTTATTATACAGGGTATTTCACAACTTACCCAAAAAAAAAAAATCGGAATAGATGCGGCACGAGAAGTGGAGTCAATATTGTAAAAAAATTGTTTGTAAAATCCTTATAGTTTCAGAGAAAAAAAATATTGAAGTTGTAGTACTTTCAACCAGTACATAGCTGGACAACTAGCGTCATTCGCAATACACCTGGAGAGCCACGTGGCCTTAGCGACTCCGAATACTGAAATCCGATTTTACAGTCGTCGTTGGCAGTGTTTACAATAGTTTTTTAGTAGTTAGTGTCAAAAATGGCTTGCGTGTATAGCAATTCGGAGTTTATGGATATCGTTTTAATTTATGGTGAAGTAAGAAAACATTTGTATTATGGTGAAGCATTTGTGTTATGGTGAAATAAGACAGCATATATGTTATTTCGTAGAAACTGAGTAAGACGGACTAAAATGTGTTTACACATCGGTGGACAAAATTTTGAACAGTTGTTGTAACATCAGGTATGTCAAATTATTTTATTATTTAAAACCACAAATTAATTTAATTAATTAATAACAACAATAGCGGCAAAATCAGTTGAATTTGCTGAATAGGTGCTATAAAATTCTATTTATTCTTTTCCTTGCGAAATTCTTTCAAGTTTTTGTCCGTTTTTATCATTGCTGCCGTGACGGTCGCATTGTGTCAGGTCAGGTTTTACGGTAGACCAGTTTCCAGTGCTGTGCAGCATTGTATTTTTAAATCATTTTCGAACTTCCCTTTTTCGATTTTTTCTTTACAAGATTGTATTTGTAACCCAGAGTTGTTTTTTGAATAAGTTCTGATTCGCCCTGTAGATATTAATATTAAAGTGATAATGTCAGTAATAATAAAGATTGAATCAGAATAAGACGGAATGATTTAAATTAACTTTTTTGATCCTAATGATCACATGTAACAAAATTATTCTTGGGGGGGATTCTATTATTTTATAGGCAGTAAAATTAAAAATGCTAATATGTTTCGTTATTGGAAAATTCCAAATAATTAAAATTTAAAATTATTAAATTAACAATAATTAATTATGATTGCTTTTGTTCTACATTTGACTGACACTCATTGAAAATATCCGTTTTTAGAACTTAATTTTTTTGAATCGTTTTAATTAAAAGCGTATTTTCGAAAACGCATTGACAACCCAGTAAAAATATAAAATTACCATATAACAATACTGAAATTTAGTCTAGAATAAGGAAAAAAATTAAGACTGATTTAAATTACAATTAAATATATTGTATTAAAATTTATTATATTTTGAGGCAGTTTACTGTATTCCATTATTCCCTTATCAAAAAGATTTTTTTTGTTGACTGTGAATTTGTATAAACAATGCCTAGATTATTATTGATTTGATTTAGATGTATTACAATTATGTGTACATCACATCAATTGAGGATTATATGATAAATATTTATGCAAAAAATAGGCAATCAGCGTAAAGTCTTTTGTATACTTACTATATTCCTATATCTTGAGTAGCCTAAAAGGAATTCTGTATGCATTTATTTTGTAACACAATATATTTGAATCACTTTCATTAGCTGTGATTAATATCGTTGAGCAGTAATAAAAATGAGGTTTTATTATAGGCGAATTATTTTGCTCTTGAACGTCGGATTATAATCTGAAATCAGAGCAGTTGATTGGTTGAATTTAAAAAATTGCAGAATTTAAAAATTATGGCGGAATTTTAAATTAAACGAATAAGTTACCCAGATTTCAAATTGCACATAAATATTATGAGCGAAAGAACTTAGCGTATACTCTTATAAATAAAACCTTTTCAATAATACATTTCGTTATTCGATAAGCAAATGGTAATTCCTTACAGATTTTTTACATTTACAGTACCACGGATGGAGTTAAAAAGAAAGAAAACTTTTTTATTTTGTGAAAGAAGTTATTCTGGTTTTGTTAGAATGTTGTTTTAAGTGGGCTAACATATAGAGGCTGCTATTTTATTAAGAAAAGTTATTCAAAATTAGAATTCGAAGATAACACAGCCACACAAAAAAATGATTGTCGAGTCTGAAGGTCAGACTACCATATGTTTTCAGAGTCGCTGAATCCGAATCAGTGATTCATTTAACCCCATTATGTCAGCTTTTACCCATACAATCATATCACCTCATAACCCAAGCTGTCAAGTCCTATTACACACAACTGTCCTGTAAAGGGAGCTATACACCCAAAATAACCCCATAATCCTATACAATCAACCTCAAACCTCCTAACCCCATAGCCGTATAACGTACAAGTCCATAAGCCCATAACCGATAATTCCAATAACCACGTTACTCAGTAGTTTGACTTGATCCCTGATCACGGAATATATCCAGGCTTTATAAACAGAATATATTTAATCCTATAATCGC